GGTGTCTTCCGCAAATTTGTAAATGGAGTTGGAGCTGAATTTGCTCACACAGCTGAGAGTGTATAAGGAGTATAGTAAGGGGTTCAGTATGCAGCCTTGCGGGGCACTGGTGTTGAGAATTATCTTCTGATTGTGGCCTGAATCAGGAAGTAAAGGAACCAGTTGCAGAGGGGGAGTAGAGTCATAGTTCTTGGAATTTGGAGACGAATTTTGTTGGAATTTGTGGTATTGAAGGTGGAACTGAAGTCAATAAATAGGAACCTAATGTAAGTGTCATTGTTATCCAGATGTTCCAAGTATGAATGTAGGGCCTGGGAGACGGCATCTGCTGTGGACCTATTGCTACGGTAGGTGAATTGTAGTGGATGAAGACAATCTGGGAGGCTGGAGTTGATGTGTGCCGTTACTAAACTCTTGAAGTTCTTCATAATGATGGATGTCAGAGCCACTGGATGGTAGTCATTAAGGCTCGCTGCCTGGTTTTCCTTTGGTACCAGGATGGTGATGGTCTTCTTGAAGCAGGTGGGAATCTCACATTGTAGTAAGGAGGGGTTAAAGATGTCTGCGCATACTTCTACCACCTGGCCCAAATAAGATCTGAGCACATCCATTGGGTTTCCTCTCGAGAGGGCAAATCTGACGTCTGCAGTGGTGACTGTGGGTACAAGTGCAACCAGGCTGCTGGGGCAGGTGACATCATTACACTGACCTTCTGGTCAAAATAAGCATAGAATGCATTGAGCTCACTGGGGAGGGATGTATTGTTGTCAGAGATTCTACTGGACTTGGCTTTGCAGCCCCTTATATCATGAAAGTCTCGCCACAGTCGATGTGTGTTTGTGTGGTTAGTCTGGGACTCTAGTCTGGTAATGTCTGTTGGTATCCCTGATGGTTTTGTGAAGATTGTACCTAAACTTCCCATACAGGTCAGGGTCACCCAACTTGAATGCCTCAGACCCGGACTTCAGTAGGCAGTGGATTTTCCGGTTCATCCATGGTTTCTGGTTGGGGAACACCTGGATTAAATTCTTTGGCACACAGTCCTCTACACATTTACTAATTAAGTCAGTTCAGCCATTATCTTATTGAATAATGGAGCAGGCTTGAATGCCTCAAATGTGGGCAGTGTGGTAGAAGTTGTTTATTTGGACTTTAGTGAAACTTTTGACAAGGTTCCACATGGTAAACTGATTAGTAAAGTTAGGTTGCATGGGAATCAGGGACAGCTTGCCAACTGGATACAAAATTGGCTCGAAGGTAGGGGACTGAGGGTTGTTTTTTAGACTGAAGGCCTGTGACCAGTGCTGTTCCACAGGGATCTGTTCTGGGTCCACTATTGTTTGTTTCAGATACTGTCAATACAAATGGGTATGGGAGCTTCATGCGTGTACCACTGGACTGGGAAATCAAAGGCCCTGACTCATAATATACACTTGAACAAAATAAGCAAATGGGGATTTTATGTTCAGTTAAATTAAACACATTTGGAATAAAAAACAACGAAGGTCAGTAATTATGACTATGAATTGTTAAAAGAAAAACACAAGCAATTCACCTATATTATTTAGGTAAGAAAATCTGCCAAACTTTCCCAGTTGCTGCATATGTGACTTCAGTAATGTGGATGAAATTTAATGGTCCTTTTTGTTAGCCAGGCAAGATGCTCAGTGGTATTCAAGAAGGTGGTTCACCACCACCTTCTCAGGGGCAGTTAGGGATGGGCAACAAATGCTGGCTCAGCGAGGAATGCTCACATTTGTAAATGAATTTTGAAACCATTGAACACGCGGTGACTCGTTGGGCTCAATCATGCACTAGAGGATAGCTTTGTGAGAGGGGAGATGAGTGGGAAGGACAATACCCAGCTCTGCTCTGACTGATCTCTCTGAGCAGAAGCCTGAAAACAGGCTCCTTGGCCCATTATGTTGCACATAATGGGAAAAGGGGAAACAAAGCATAGACAAAGTTCTCAATGATAGGAACACATAAATAAATATAGGCCAGATGTTACACCACAATCTAGAGAATTACATTCAACAGCACCTTATTAATATACAATATGTGTAGATGTATAACAAATCAGAGAATGTCAGGGACAGATTATTTCATTTTGAATAATCTTTCACCTGCTGCCTCATTTGGGACTTGAAAGCTCACGTACCCCAAAGGCCTCTGACAACAGAGCTGCGCCATCATTCTCCAGACGATTTCTGCCTGCCACAAAAACTTTCAGAGCTAACGGCTGTCCCCTGGCACTTGATTCCTTATGACACTCTTTTAAAGCTTTGGCTAAAATCTGCAAAAGAAGAAAGGGAAGAAGGAAAATGCTTAATGATGTACAACTGAAGCATGAGTGGGATATTTTTACAACTTTTTGAAGCCGGCCAGCTGTTTGAGCAATTGTAGCCATGTTTATTGTAGTTCACTTTAGAAGCTTTGGGATGAATAAAGTGTGCCAAGCTCATGTAGCTGGATTTGTCACAAATTTGTGGAGATGCCACTGTATCTAAGACCTATGCAGGGGCTGGTGTTCCAGAGCTATCTGAATTGTTACAAGGAGCACCCTTATGAAAGGGAAGGGAGAGTTGGAGCTTTAAGTTAGATGGTTAAGACTAATGTCTACCTGTGTTTAACATGAAAAACATATCAACGACATTTCATAGAAACCAATAAATTTCTAACAGGACTGGACAGGTAAATACAGGAAGGATGTTCCAGATAAGCAGGGAGTCCCAAAACCAGGGTTGTTGTTTGATGATATGGGGTAGGCCATTTAGGACTAAGATGGAGAAATGTCTTAACCCAGAGAGTGATGAGCCCATAGAATTCTCTGCCACAGAAACTGGCTGAAGCCAAAACATTGAATGTTTTCAAGAAGGAGGTAAAGTTCCTAGAGCTAAAGCAATCAAAGTGTATGGGAGGAAAGCAAGAACAGGATAGTAGCCATGATCATGTTGAATGGCAGAGCAGGTTCCAACTGCTGCTCCTTTTTTCTATGTTTCTATGTCTCTGTGTCAAAGAAACAAATGAATGCTTAATGGGTTAGTATAAGAATATTTGTCCTACAGCCCTCTGGGACTGCTGTGCTCCTCTAGTTCCAGCCTTTTAAATAACCCCTATTTTAACTATTCAAACACTGGGGCCTGCACTTTTAGCTGCCTGATCCCCAAGCTCTGAAAGTCTGTCTGCCTCTCTTTCCTCTTGTAAGATGTTCTTTTAAGGCTCCCTCTCTGAATGAGCTGTATCCTATTCTAGGACCTGTTTGAGGTTTGTTATCAGGTTTTGTCCAGTACAGCTTCTGTGAGGTGGCTTAACAGGACAACATATGACATCAAAAACTGTCATCCCCAAGAACATTGCTGATTTCTCACTGCAGCAGAAGATCTATGTTTCTGCACTCCTGTTCTCTGGAGCTCTCTCCCAAAGTCCTCTGCATGTTTACCTTCCAAACTCCTGTTGGAGGAATTCTCCTGAAAATGACTTCAGTTCTGCTTTGGCAATCTCACTTTACCTGTGACCATCTGTCCCTCTTTGGATGTGCTCAGAGCTTCCTCTAACAGTCTGAACACAAATTATTCACAGACTTAATCGAGAGGCAAATTCAAAGCACAGTGGCCTGGAGCCCTCCAGACACAGCAGAGCTTTCTCCTGACTACTTATCTCAGAGATGCTAATGCATCATGGTGTTTAGGCTTGTGACTGTCTCAACACACAAGATCCAGCTGCTCCAATCCACAAACTTCAATTAAAATAATTTCTATGTAATTATCTCTGAAAATGTGAACATGGTTGTAAAGTGCAATTGAATTTTTAATAAGTACTTTCTGTGCTGAGGTAAATTAACCCAGCAGAGGTGTGTTTGAATTGAAAGAGAGATCCATTGACTAGTGTCAAAATCTTAGTCTACTAGCTGAACATCTTGGTATGAAATACAGTGCTCACAGAACCAATCAGTGCACAGAGCTGTTCAAGTCGAGTCATAGAATCATAGAGCTGTACAGCAAGGAAAAAGACTCTTTGGTACAACCTGTCCATGCTGACCAGATATGTTAAATTAATCTAGTCCCATTTGCCAGTATTTGCCCCACATCCTTCTAAACTGTTCCTATTCATATACCCACCCAGATGCCTTTTAAATGTTGTAATTGTACCAGCCTCCACCACTTCCTCTGGCAGTTCATTCCAAACACACACCACTCTCTGCATGAAAAGGTTGCCCCTTTGGTCCTTTTTAAATCTTTCCCCTCTTACCTTAAACTTATGCCCTCTAGTTTTGGACTCCCCTATCCTGGGGAAAAGACCTTGGCTATAGACCCTATACATGCCCCTCAATTTTATAAACCTCTATAAGATCACCCCTCAGCCTCCAACGCTCCAGAGAAAATAGTACCAGCCTATTCAGCCTCTCCCTATAGCTCAAACCATCCAATCCTGGCAACATCATTGTAAATCTTTTCTGAACCCTTTCAAGTTTCACAATTATGATCACTATTCCCAAAATGATCCCCCACAGAAACTTCAATCACCTGTCTCAGCTACAAAGTCTAGTATGGCCCTTCCCAGTTGGATTATGTACAAACTGTTTCAAGAAACCCTCCTTGATTACACCTTTCTTATTCCTGAATTCTACCTTCAGGGTGACCAGAATTTAATGCAATACTCCAAAAGTGGCCTAACCAATGTCTTGTACAGCCGCAACAGGACCTCCCAACTTCTATACACAATGCACTGATCAATAAAGGGAAGCATACTAAATGCTTTCTTCACTACTTTTGGTTCCACTTTTAAGCAACAACGAACCTGCACCTCAACATCTCTTTGTTCGGTAACACTCCCCAGGACCCTACCATTAAGTGTATACGTCCTGCAGGTCTGTAGATCACCTAAATGCCTGAAGCTTTGCTCCGTACAGTTAGCTTAGTGGCTGATTCCCTCCATTTTTGCTCCATGTAGTGACAGAGCCCAGTGAAATTTCAGAACAGAAAGCAGAGTAGGAAACAATTGGATTGGTGGCTTAGATAAGATCACTGTTCTCAGATGGAGTGTTAAAGGTCTTGTAAATCTCACAGAACATACCCTTTTGGAAATTCATGTTATCATTCCTACACAGCTACACAAAAAAGGATCTAAAGCATTAGTGTGGAGGTAATGGAACATTATAAATCTGTATGTACTGAATAATGAGCAAATGAACAGTTATGCCCTGACTACAGTTTGAGTAGGACATCAATTAGTACCTGGGAAGTCATATGTTAAACCACTGATTATTGGTGAACTCTAGTTCCCCAACATTGACTGGGACTCCCTTAGTGTCTGATTGGGCAGAATTTGTCAGATGCATCCAGGAGGGTTTCTTGAAACAGTTTGTACATAATCCAACTGGGAAGGGCCGTACCAGACCTTGTAGCTGAGACAGGTGATTGAAGTTTCTGTGGGGGATCATTTTGGGAATAGTGATCATAATTCTGTATGCTTTAAGATTGCTATGGATAAGGATAAGACTGGTCCTTGGGTGTCAGTGCTAAACTGGGGGAAGGCTAATTATTACAGTATTAGGCAGGAACTGGAGATATTCAATTCAGGAGATGGCTGTTTGAGAGTAAATCCACATCTGACATATGGGAGCCTTTTAAAGGTCAGTTGATCAGAGTTCAGGACCAGCATGTTCACAAGAGGATGAAAGATAAGGATGGTAAGATTTGGGAACCCAAGCCAATATCAAGCATATGTAAGGTTTAGAAAACTGAAATCAGACAAGGCTCTTGAGGAATATAAAAGAAGCAGAAAAAAAATTAAGGTATTAGGAAGGCTAAAAAGGGACCATAAAATGTCCTTGGCAACTAGAATCAAGGAGAATTCCAAGGCATTTTATAGGTATATCAGGAGCAAGAGAGTAGCTAAGGAAAGAGTACATCCACTCAAGGACAAAGGAGGGAATTTATGCATGGTCCTACAGAAAGTGGATAAGGTCCTTAATGAGTATTTGCATCGGTATTCACCGAGGAAAAGGGCATGGATATGGTAAGATTCAGGAGGGATATGTTGATACACTAGGGCATGTTAATATTAAGAAGGAGGTGGTGTTGGGTGTCTTGAAGAACATTAAGTTAGAAATAGGTCTCTTGTGGTAGGCTGGTCCAGAAGATTAAGTTAAATGGAATTCATGGTGAGTTGTTAAGTTGGATACAAAATTGGCTCGGTCATAGAAGATAGAGGGTAGTTGTGGAAATGTGTTTTTCTGCCTGGAGCTCTGTGACCAGTGGTGATCTGCAAAGGTCATTGCTGGGACCTCTGTTGTTTGTAATATATATCAAATGCAAGAGGAAAGTATACAGTGAATAGTAGGATCTTTAGGAGTATTGATTTATAGAGGGATCTTTGGGTATAAGCCCATAGCTCCCTGAAAGTGGCAACACAAGTGGATAAGGTGGTAAAGAAGACATATGATATGCTTGCCTTCATCAGCCAGGGCATCGAGTATAAAATTTGGCAAGACACGTTGCAACTATATAAAACTTTTAAAGTTAGGCCAGTTCTGGTTGCCACACCATAGGATGGATGTGGAGGCTTTGGAGAAGGTGCAAGTTTACCAGGATGTTGTCTGGATTGGAGTGTATTAGCTATAAAGCAGAAGTTGGACAAACTCAGATTGTCTTCACTACAGCATCGGAGGGGTGACCTGATAGAATATAAAATTATGTGAGGCATGAATAGAATGGGGGAATCTTTTTCCCCAGGGTTGAAGTGCCAAAGACTAGGGGTCATAGGTTTAAGGTGAGGGGAAAAATTTAAAGGAGTGTGCAAAGCAAGTTTACACAGAGAGTGGTAGGTGCCCAGAATATGCTGCCAGGGGAGGCAGTAGTTGCAGAAATGATAGCACTGTTTAAGAGGGATTTAGGCAGACACATGAAGTGACAGGGAATAGGCAGATATGGACCACTTGGAGGCAGATGGCGTTAGTTTAGAAAGGCATCATGGTTGGTACAGTCATGGTGGGCTGAAGGACTTTTCCTGTGCTGTTTTATGTTCCAGAGAATTGATGTGGAAGCATTGGCTCACAGAGAGGCTCACAACAGAGAACAAGACTGGCCTTTGGTTTTGGAATTAAAGAGCTCAATCCTTTCATATTTTGACAAAGGGTCATTTTTGTTGACTTTCACAAAGGCTTCCTCTCCATGTGACCTAATGGGTTTTCTCACTCAATGGTCCCAAACTCCCCTCATTAACTCCTCACGATGCCCGTACGGTGCCCCTCCCATCTGATACTCGCCTGATTCTCCCACTTGCTGGAGCCAG